ATCGCTCTTAAGCTGGTCATTGCATCATAATGTTTCTGAGAATTTATGATGTATTTAACATCTCATGTTAAAATGTATTCAATAAAGCTGCAGCCTGCACAGTTAAAAGTAGAACCACGATGGCTATATATGATTTCTCCAGAGGTCTGAAGGACTCATTGCTTGATATTTTTGTTGAACTAAAGGAAAAGACACACCACAGCAAATCATTACCTAAATATTTACCGAATATAAACCTTTAAATTTCTCAGTTTCAGGACGTTCATCGTGTTTTTTCTGTCTGATGTCTAACTCTGTGGTCTCCCTGCATGAATCTTTAAGGCACTTTCTGTCACAGTGTAGATGTTCTGTCTGACACAAGCACCATCCTCTCCTCGCGGCTCTTTCTTTCTCAGGCCTATCGCAGCTTTGTGCTCTCGCTCTCTGCAGAATAGACCATTTGTTAGAGCTCCAAGCCTTCTACTTCTGTTTCTCTGCCTTTCAACTACAGACACAATTGTGCACACAATAACCTCCCACAATACTAACTATCTCCCTGACCTTATCTCCTCCGAATGACTCTGTGGAACTAATGCCAGCAACAGCACATTTCAGCACAGACACCATTCACCCCACAGCTGTCTCACAGGGGGTCTCGTTTTATCATCTGCATTAACACATCCCAATGTCAAATTAAGACAAAGACTGCAGTGGGGGCAACGAACACTGAGGCATTCTCATGGCAAGGACATTTAAAATGAGCAAAGAGGAAAATACATTATTATTATTAGTAGCAGTATTAGTATTAGTATTATTGCAGCTTTCCTTATATTTCGGAGATAAAAATGGTATTTCTACAGAATCCCGCAGATATGTGGGACATAAATCAACTCGAAGTAAATGAATAAAAAGAACTTAATGACAAAATGAACAATATGTATGACGCAAAACAATTCTACCCAAAGGTCGAGCTGATCTGAACTGAGTTGCTATTTTGCACTAGATGTGTGTTTTACAAAATAAACAGATGCATGACAATATTGATCATTATATTTTGGCTGAAGCAGCCCTGCACTCAGCCAGAGCTCATTATATGTGATCACATCCACACCTTACAGTTTAAGTATTAACTAAAATGTTTAATACTTATGTATGATGACGCTATTTTGAAAACGTAAAGTATGCATCTTAGGCAACT